CTACCACAACCGTCGACCGCCACTGACCACCGTCGTCGACCATCGCCGAAAATCGCCGCCACCGCCCGCGCCCATCGCACGCAATCGCACACACCTAGTACCTAGCCGTGTGCCACCCAACGCAGGTACCTGCTCCCAACGACGCCCAGCGACGCTCCCGCACGTCATCCCTGCAAGCCGCAAACCACCGCTGCCCGTGATCGTTGTGCCCCGTTCTCCTGCGCGAGAAGTACTCCCGCACCAGTCCGCGCGCAACAAGGAAACTTGCAGCATACGCCCGCATGTTCTTAGAAATCGTGACCCAGTCCTCCTCGGCCTAGGTCTGCTGCTCCCGCACGCACGTGACATCCCTGCATGCTCCCAGCACCCGTCCGCATGATCCAGTCACCCGCGTGTCCTGCCCAGCGCCCGACACGCATCTGCTAGCGACCAGCAGCCGTCCGTATGTGCCGACTGCAACTGTCTGCGACCTACACCTGACCAGCACCGAGACACACCATGATCGAGCCACAACGAGCCCAACCGTGACCAGCTGACCCAATCCGAGATTCGACCGAGCCGACCTGAATCGCATCCGACCAGCCCGAGCCCGAAAAGTCTTTTGTGATTTAGAGACTCAATTAGGATCGATAAAGGCCAAGTCCGACAGCCTATCGAACTCTGGTGTTCAGATGATCTCCATCAACAGAAATCAGAAATGTCTCAGAGTCCAAAATTTTAAACGACAATGTCCTAACTCTAACTATAGATTTCGATGCATTAGGGTTTATTTTGGCAAATTCAAACGTGCATGTTGTTGACGTTCTGTTTAAAACCCAACAGTATGTGCTCTTAAACCATTTCTAGCTTTATTATTCTTTTTCCTTGTCATCCCCTTTCTGCTCTTAAGCATTCCTCATAAGCTTCCGGCCATAGCCACCCTTCTCTTACTCTGCCTAATTTTAAAATTACCGATGACCATGTCAAACTCTTACCAAGCCTCATCTTTGATCTCTTCTTCACAATCCTTAGACGAACTATCAGGGACATTCATCTGGTCTTACCTCTCTCACCGTGGTCAAAGGCAAAAGGGCTAAGGTCTTCTCTTCTGCTGACATTGGTCAAACCAAACCCCATCACTTCTTACTGAAAGAGCACATTTCCAATTTTCTTCGCGAAATCGAGCTTCCCTAGGATTGTGACTTTAATATCCCTATGTCTGATAGTCATTTGACCAGCACCCCTTAGGCAATTACTCATTCTTCATGGACCAAGCCTCTTCTTGGCTAATATTTCCTCTTAGGGATGACCTGATAGAGCTCAGTTGCCTCTACTACTTGCCCGAAACTATTTTTCTCCCAATTCCATCCGCACCTTGGTCGGGTTCCATCATTCTTTGGGCACTTTTGATTTCTCTCCGGAGTGGGTCAGAAACCCAAATCTCTATGCCCAGTAACTACCTCATTGCCTTGTGGAAAAAACAACCTTTGGACATTGTGAAACTCACCAAAAACTCACAACTCCTCTCTCATTTCGGGTTGTCTTTTTGTTCGACTGAATCGATAGCAAACTTAGGTAGGCACATTATAATGCCAATTTACATATTATTGATCTTGATGTCGAGCTAACCTTTTCTCTTAGTTTTATTTATTGGAGGATTTGTTTAGCCACATGACTGACGCCTTCACTCCTAAACCAAAGGATGTGAAGTCCACTACGGACTTCACATACTTTATATCTAATTTACTATTTTTATAATTTATTTTTTATATCTAAATGTTTAGTGTGTGTGTATATATATATATATATATATATATTATCTAACTAGGTATTAGAAAATTAATAATGTTTTTGATAAATTTTTTATTCTCAATTTTTTTATTTTTTTGAATGATTTTATTTCAATAAAAATATTTGTTGGAAAAGCACTTTAAATTTAAATGTGCTATATTTGTAGCCCAGGTAAGTTATAAATGCTGTCTCCACCCCTGGGTTCCCTTAATAACTAAGGATTTGCATCTTCCAGAATAACTATGTAGATGTGCACTAACTTACTTGAATATCGTTTAGGAAAATTTCATAAATCTTCATAGTTATTAACCAACACAATATATCTTTAAATCACATAACCGAGCTTATGCTTCCTTAGACCGACCTTACTCAAGCTGACCGCTCAAGACGGTCTACCGAGCTATTTTTTGCCCCGAGCTACTTTGTCGAAGTTTTGCCACCTTGAAATAAATTCCACTCGAGCTACCTACTCGGGCACTAGATAAATTCTTTGAAAAGGTTACTTATGTACTTGAAGTACACGCTTGAATACGAGTTAAAATACTCGAGATACACAGTTGTACTTGATGAGTACTGTGATGCTAGCTGGATATCAGATTGGAGTGATTCTCTCTCCACGAGCAGATATGTTTTATGTGTTGGAGGAGGTGTTGTTTCATGGAAATCCACAAAACAAGCTTTTATAGCTAGGTCAACCATGGAATTCGAGTTCATCGCTTTAGATAAAGCTGGTGAAGAAGTCGACTGGCTCCAAACTTTTTTTTTTTTTTCTGATATTCCATGTTGGAGTAAGCCTTTGTTGCTTGTGATGATTCACTGTGATAGCCAAGCTGGTATAAGAAGGGCACAAAGCAACATGTATAAAGATAATTTTAGACATATCTGTCGTAGACATAATATCATTCATCAATTGATCACGAATGGTTTTATTTCCATTGATTATGTAAGTCTAAGAAAAATTTGGTTGATCCTTTCACTAAAGGAATGAGTAGAGATCAAATGAGAATAATTCTTGAGAGAATGTGCTTAAAAATCCAAAATGAAAAGAATAATCATAGTGGTAACCCTACCTTCATGAATGGAAATCCCATGAACTTGGATCAAAGGAAAAACTAAACTATAAAAATTCAGCTTAGCACTTGGAACATAAGAATGTCTAAAAGCTATCCTCTAAAATAATCCAAGTGCATGATTACTTGTTGATTGTGGCGACGGTGAATCATCTGGACTTTGGATGAATTCCTAACCTTCTAAAAGGTGGAGTAAGACAAGATACTTTTGATAGAATTCACCTATATAAGTGTGAAGTGAGGCCACTTCAAATGTGAACACTAATGAATCAATTTTTTGTCGCTGGCCAAAACGGACACAACGATAGAACAAAATAGAGTTAAGTCTCTATTGTGTTAACCTCATTGTCTTACTGTACACTATGGAGAAATAGTTAAAAGCATTATGTCCATTAAGCCGCAAGTACATATGATAATGTTTACTACGAAAGGTTCAAGGCCAGAAGCTACTATGCAATGGAGTCTTGTGAAGACTGAGCACAAGAGTCTACATACATGCATTTATTTGATTTCCACTCATGTGGGGAATTGTTGGAAAATCGGTTCTAAAAAAACTTGAGTTGACCTGATTTTGACTTTTTTTTTTTTTTTGGCTACATTTTTAACTCTGGTTGAATTAAATTATGTAGGAAATTTTATACGTTTTGAGTAGCTACTCGTGGTATATATTGTAAGGAGAAGTAAATTATTGAAGTTAGTCATCAAAAGACACATGAAACGTTAGTTGTGAAATTCGAAGGGTCAAGACTTATAACCCCTTTTGGACTATTAAATAAGATTAAATCTATTTATTATAATAAAGAGAGTTGTAGATGTAGCAACAATAACAAAGTTACGCACCAAGTGTTGGTGATTACTTCGGCCACACGAGCACGCGCGTCAGTCGGTCGACTCGGCTCGACTTGGGCCTTCGTCCTTGGTCCTTGACAATTAGACTATGAGATGGACTTGGACAGTCTGGGCTGGTGTTGGGCTTGGTGCTAGACTTGGTCTTGGGTCCAACCCCTATATTCTTTTGGTTGCAAATTTGTTTGCAAAATTGTGACTCAAAGTGAAATCCAAACCAAGTTGGTTTTGGACTCGAGTTTTGACCCAACCCATGTAGGACCCTTTTAAGATACATTGTATCTGGACAATTGACTCCACCTGACCGTTTCAGATGGAGTAGTGGTGCGTTAACAATTGAAAACGACAGACTTACTACTTGATCGTTTTTGTCCAATTACAACAGCCACTATTGGGTTGTTACTTGACATGAGCGGCTGATGTCCGGAGATCATTCCCTACTTGTTGTAAGTCCTATAAATAGGATAAAGTAGAGTTACAAAAAGACACACAATCTCATCTGCATCATTACGTTATCTCATAGTCTCACGCATATACATATTGCCTAATTCTTTGCTGCATTCAAGTTCGCCGGAGCCCGAAAACCTGAAGTGCTACAGCTTATGAGACGTAGTCATTGTATCTTTGGGGTAGAGACGTCTGAATCGGTCGTCACACTAGGTGGCGTATTGTCTTGAGGAAAGAGCAAAACTTGTCTCAATAATTCTTTCTGCTTTCATATTGTATATTATTTTATAGCTTTTAGTTTAAGTTGTAAGAACTAAAATGCAACATATTTCCTGTTGTAATCGACTCGCGTACAGAAAACATACAAGTTATTTTTTTCTTATGTAGTTAAAAAAGAATTATATATCATCTTTTTTAGTCTTTCTCGCAGTCTTTCATATATTTTCCACTACTTGCATCACCACAAAACAAACCAAGCTAAAAACCAAAGACAACACTCGCGGGGTACACTAAATATACATACATATATAATAAAATAGGACAACAAACAACACATTATTCCTCTATTACAATGCCCATACCCCAAATACCCACAGTTCAAAAAAAAAAAAAAAAAAAAAAAAAAAAAAAAAAAAAAAAAAAAAACAGAAACATTAACAAAGTCTCCATCCACATGACTACAACCCAACACAGGAAAAAAAAATAAAAAATAATAATAATAAAAAAAAATAAAAAAAAAAATCATGATAAATTTAAAAGAAATAAACAAACAAGAAGAAAGAATGAAAATATGCAAATAAAAGCTAGAGAAAGACACTTCCCCTCCCTCCCTCCCTTTCCTTTTGATTGAATGAGTGAATGAATGAATTAATCCCACCACTGGTGCACAGCAATACCCTCATCCCTGACTTTCCCATACAGACTGAGACACTCCCAGTAGGGTCTCTTCTCCCCTGCCCCGTCCACCCACTGATTCCTGCACTCAAGAAACAGCTCGTCCACCAAACACAGCCTCTTCTCTCTCAGCATCTCCTCCACCACACCTGCCTCTGCCTTCATCACCACATAGTCCTCCATCCTCACTTCCATCTCCTCCATACTCTTGTACACCTCGAATTCCTCATCCTGTGTCGGGTAGTTCCCGTAGAACCACTCCACCGCCCGCGAGTCGTCCGACACAAACACCCGCCTCGGGTACTCCGCCAGCGACTCCTTCACCAGCTCCGGCAGGAATCTCATCTTCCTCCCCGCCCGCCTCGGCACGGGCTCCAAGTACACGTCCTCCAGCCCCTTCAGCGCCTCCCTCTTCTCCTCCGAAGTCGCCCCGCACACCGGGCTCTTCACGGGCCCGCTCCTCCTCATGCCCACCACCGTGCTCTCCAGTCGCCTCAGGTACACGATCCTGTAGTTGCTCAACAGGCGCAGCCCCGCCGGTGGGTCCCTCCCCAGGGACGACACGACAAGCCCGTTGTCCCGGACGAGCCCGTCCGCAAGGCCCACCTGCCCGAAACTCGGGACAAACAAGAAATCGAAGGCCCGAGCGTGGCCAAATTCTGGAGAATCGACCCCGGACAGGAGCTCGATGCCCGCGTCTTTTAGAAAGTCGAGATCGTTCTCGAGCTTGTGGGCGCCCAACACGAGCCCCGTTTGGCCATTCTTGATGAGACCCTCCTCCATCAGATTTCGGAGCAAGATGGGTAGGAGCTTGAAGGTGTTGTTCGAATCCTCGTGCTCGTGCGAGGAGGCCCTCTTGATGAGGGTGTAGATGGAGGGCAGGGACAGGAAGACCATGGCGAATAGCAGAGATTTCGAGAGGATACGCAGGGCCCGAGAGTCAGATGGCAGCTGAATAGGCAACAGGAAGGCGGTGGTGTTGTTAGCGTCGTGAGCAACTGTCGGGTCCTGCCCGATTTTGTTTGGCCGGGTTTCGAAGCCGGCTTTATCCATCTTGGTGGGTGAGATGGATTGATTTATTACCATCTTAGTGGGGAAATCCTAACTATGTAGCCCCAAATTTGGCTCACAGGGAGAGAGATACAGCAAAATAACAAAAACAAAAACGTAATTTTTATGAAAGCGAAAACAGGAAGAAGAAAAGAAAAAATATTTTTTAAAAAAAAGTACAAAAAAAAAAAAAATAAAGAGGCGGGGAATTAGGATAGTTTTAGCGAGTGCAGAATCTGGCGGCGGTGTGGTTTCCACCCACGAGAGCAACACGACTGCTTCGGCTTCTACACCAGAGGAGCAATAAATCCCTAATTCTAGCAATTTCCATGATTTTTTTTTTAACGGTTCCCTATCTCTCTTTCTCTCTATTTTTCTCCTCCAAATTCAATTTCTGATGTGGGTTTTTACATGATATATCAGATAAAACTCAAGATCTGTCTGAAACTCGGCCACCATCAACCGAACAGAACAAAAAAAAAAAAAAAAAAATTGTGAACAGGGAAAAGGACAATTCTGATGGCGGCAGAGAACGAGAGAGGAAGCGAAATTAAGAAAGAAAGAAAGAAACAACAACGTTGGAAGAATTTTTTTTTTCTCTGTCTCTCTCTTTCTTTTCTTTTCTTTTTTTATTTTTTATTTTTTATTTTTTTTTTGGTCTGATAAAAGAATTGTGAGGGAAGATTTTGTGTCGTGGGGCGTATTATTATATTGCAAAGGGAGTTTGCATTTGAGGTGGTGATGATCAATGGCCATTGTTTAGCTTCTGGGGTGGTCGTAGTTTGTCGACAACTAGAATTAAGGAGAAGAGAGAGGGTAGATGGTTTTTCTCTCTATTATTATTATACAGTATCATTTATTTATTTTTTTTTGGGTTTTGTTTTAATTTCGGACCTTTGATTTTTGTGCATGGAAAATAAGAAGTCAATCATCTTTTCTAGTGATTGATAACGAGTGGTGTAAATCTTTTTACATGAATTGGAAATTGGAAACACCAATACATGAACTAATGAGCAAAATGTTTTTATCTTATCAAATGTTTATATCTTATCCTATATATACTATCTTGGCACTTCATGCATGACTCGACACCCAATCAACCAATTTAAAGTAAAAATTGTCCCAAAAAAAAATCTTAATATAACTATTTCTCTATTTTCAGATTTTTTTTTTCCCAAATTAAGCAACTGAAACTCTTACTTCTTCTCGTGTCCGTGCGCCTCCTCTCCGGCGGGGGCTGCTCCCCCTCACCTTCAGTCGGCACCTTTGGTTGACTCTTAGTCAAGCGGCGGTTCTCCACGACTGATTCTCGCCACATATCCCCTAGTCTCGTGGTCTCTTACCGATGCCATGGAAGATTAGGGTGTGAAGCTCGGCGACTTCTTTGGAGGGGGTGCCATGTTTTTGGGGTCGGCTGTGTATCGAAGTTGAGTATGGTGTTTTGGCCCTCTTGTTGCTAATTTTTATCTATTGTTGGAAGGAAGAGCCTCCGGCGGCGGCATCAACTAGTGTTGTGGTGTTGGGGTTGTTGGGCTCTGGAGGCTGCCTGTGGCGGAGATCTCGGTTCCGGTTTCATTTCAGTGGTCCTAGTCGAGCTAGCCATAGGGGGAGTTCTTCGGTCCGGGCTTCGGGGCGGTATAATGATTTGGTGGTTGCTCACGTTTGGTTTTAGAGGTTTTGTCTAAGCAAGGATGTTGGCCTAGGTTGTCCGGATCCGATTAGTCGGGACTGCGATTTGGGTTGTTGTCCTATCATTAGGTGGATTTCTCTGGGGTATCAGTTTCGTTGGTGTTGTTGTTTAGTGGCTCGTACGTCATAGGGGAGTGTTATTCCAGTATTAGCTAGTTCTTTTAGTGCTTGTGTTTTGTGAGTTTTATGTTTTGTTTAGTGTTGTTAGTGTGAGTTAATGTTCTTGATTCTCCTCTTTAGGAGGAATGTGTATTCTGCTGTATGAGAATGTGCATTCTCTCGCTGGGGAGTGTGTATTCTCCATTAGTGGGGTTTTTAGTTTTTTTGTGTTTTGTAATGTGTTGTGTTTTATACTACCACGCCTATCAAGTTTTAAGCACAACAAACTACCAGGTTTTAATAGACTTTGCGGAAGCATGAACTGAATACTAATATAAAGACGACCAACCTCGCCCCTCGTGTTCATCGCCAACTCAAGCAACTTGAAAGAAGTAAGGGGAGAGCAAAACCACTATGCTCAGTGGAGAGACGTACTGCACAATTATCCAGAACAATAACATATATCATAACATTATCATATAACATGAAGCTAAATTGGGCCCCTGACAAAATAGTACTATCAAAGGTCGGAAAACTATCTTAGATCTGCTTCTTTCGACAGAATGGTACTTCTAAAGGTCGGAAGGTTTGTCTTATCTTTGTTTCCCCCGACAGAAAGGTACTGCCAAAGGTCGGGAGAAGTGTCTCATCACATCACATACCTCAGTCATAATACCACGCGATTATAATGACTAGAACGTAGTACAAATTCCAAGCTTGAATGTTGATGAGATGAATGAATGCTCGTGAATCTTCTGAGGGCTCGAATCCTCTTAACCTACAAGTTAAGCATTTATTAATTCATTATTTTACTTAGACAAATTATTGAATATATAAACTTGATTCAGTTTATTAAACAAAACAATTAATTAAATTTAATTAACTATTCTACTAACTCTTCTCAACTTTTCTAGGCCCGACTGGAGTTCTCAGATAATGATCTAAGACTCAAGAATTTAAAATTTTAACTGTTCTGAATCAGCCGGATCGCTTATTGGTCAGACACAGTTCGGCTTGCTAGACTGTCAGGTCGACGGGGTGTTGCGGCTGCAAGGCAGGTCTCGCTCGCTGGCTACGTGGGTCTGCTAGGATAATAGTGAACTACGCACACGGATGTTGCATGGACAGTGTGCGGGCGCTGGGCGCTGGGACACGGGACGTACTGGCGCTGCAAGGACGACACGCGGGCACTAGGCACAAAACGCATGGGTGCTGAGACACAGAGCACCTGGGCTGCATGGATAGTATGCGGCACGAGACATCGCGGCACGGGTATACGGTGACGGTCTATGCGGTTCACTGTGCGCGAGCACGAGACGCGCGGGCTTTCTTCAAGAAATCAATAGGTAGCGGCCAACTTGTTATCCTGTTGAAACCAACTATGCCTTTCTCCGGTGACTTTCATCGACCAAACATAACTTTTTCCAAACCGTAGGCTATACTTAGGTATTCTAACCATGGCTAGGGCTCGGGAAAAAGAGCAACCTAAACCAAGTTCTGATGTTCTCCCAAGTTTTTCCACTGTCTAGGACGCAGACCCTCAACAAGTCCTCTACAGTCTTGATCATTCTCTCTAACTGCCCATCTTTATGGGGGTGTTAGGTCGTGTTGAACTTCAACTTCGTCCCTAAGGCCTCCAACAAGCTCGCCCAAAACCCCAAAGCAAATCATGCATCGCGGTGTGATACGATAGACATGGGTACTCCATGAAGTCGGACTATCTCCTCTATATATAGATCTTGGCATACTGATCTATCTTCATGGTCATCCTCACTGACAAAAAGTGTGTTGACTTGGTCAAACAATCTACTGTCACCAAATGACATTGTTCTCCTTCATCGACCTCAGAAGGCTCACTACAAATTTCATCGTATTATACTCTCATCTCCACTTCAGAATAAAGCAAATCTGCCGGCCTCTGATGTTCTGCCTTGACCTGCTAGCACACCAAATAACATTTAACTTCCCAGATGGGCTGAGTACGGCTCATTGCGTGCCTATTCTAAAATTTTCTTCCGCAAAGCTAGCACCTTCTGAACACAAAGTCTTTGCTCAATAACTAAAGCACCGTCTGATGCTACTGCGAAGCCTCCCACTTTTCCTTCTTGGGAAAAATCACTCAGACAACACAAAAATCAATCACTCGGTTGCTCAGTCACGATCCTCTCTCGTAAAGTCGATCCTTTAACTAATGAGATAAAACACCAATAGCTCATGAGGATGACTTCATTACCTTGATCTCCAACTGAGCGAACTCCCGAACTAATTGTTCCTGCTGAGTAATCATATAGGCTAGCTTATCTCGACCCTTGTGACTGAGAGCGTCGGCTACCACATTAGCTTTCCTAGGATGGTATCTAATGGTGCAGTCGTAGTCCTTCACTAGTTCTAGCCACCTCCTTTGTCACATATTAAGCTCCTTCTTGTGGTCCGTGAAGATCTCACACTTTCCCCCGTAGAGGTAATGTCGCCAAATCTTCAAGGCGGGACCACCGCTACTAGCTCTAGGTCATGCGTCGGATAGTCCTTCTAGTGCTGCTTCAGCTGCCTCGACGCATACGATACTACAATCCCTTGTTGCATCAACGCAACCTAGTCCTTGTTTTGAAGTATCACTATAGATGGTGAAGTCCAAAGTCAGATCGGGTATGGTCAACACATGTGCGTGTTAGTGTTATATACTGAAAGCTTAGCTTTTGATGACATTACACTTTTTACCTTTATGAATGAGAATCATGTTAGATTAAACAAGTTCTGTGTTCTGTTGTTTTGTACTTACATAGAGTGCGTCGTCATCGGGCATACTGGATCATTCTATCAGTTACTTGCGAAACAAGAACTGTGGTTCACCACCTAGATGGAAATGAACATCCTATCCGAACGGTTGTAGTGTCAACGGTACAGTTTGTCTTGACTGATTAGTTGCACTAGTACATTTATGTATTGAACATGATCGCAGAGAGGAGCAGTTCGTTTGATACTGATCGTCGTAAATGAACTAGGCTTCGGTTAATTAATGCGTTCTCTTAACCCGTAAGATATTAAATAGATATATATATATATATATATATGCAATAAATATTATTTTGATTCACATGAGTGAGGTTCAGTTCACTCGATTAATATTCCTAAGGTTTTGGATTATATTGTTGTATATATGATGTACTGTTAGGATATTTATTTTCACCATGTACATTTAGTTTGATGATGTCCCC